AACTGTCGAAGCCATAAATAAATTAAGAGAAAAAAAATGCAAGAAATAAAATTGAAAATGAGAACAACAATTAAAGATATAAAATCACACACCGAAAAAAAAAAATGGGCACGCAACGTGCATCACTCGTAACAGAAAATGTAATGTACATGAAAAGTCGTGAACGATGCGAAGTACCTGACAGGCTGACACTAATATCACACATGCAAAATGTAACATGATACAATGTATCCTACTGCTAATGCATTGGCAGCACATGTCGAAAAAAATACAAGAAACAGTAGTCTACAAGTCGTGTCGTAGCTGCCGAGATACTGTACAGTCTGTACTCAGTCTGCTGTAACCGGCGGCACTCTACGAACACCCTACTGGCACCAAAATCATACTCTACGAACACCCTACTGCTACCAAAATAATACACACCAACAAGTAAAGCACGCACACTACCAGTGAGTGTCTGACAATACTGAGACAAGACGAGACGACTCAGACGACCAAAAAAACTAGGACCGCACAACATGACGACGTACAGTGCAAGTAGGAGAGAAGCGGAGTGTTGGCCTCATTGGTCAACGACCCTTCTTCCCCTTCCCGCTGTGTCTCCTCGTACCCCCTCGACTGCCGGATGTCGACCTCTTCCTCCCTCGTGAGGATGAAGAAGTCCGCGCAGCGGAGCGTCTAGATGCACGCGTCTGTGGGGGTTCTGGGGGAGGTGGGGGCTCATCGTAGTCGTCGTCGTCGTCACCATCGGAACCGCTCCTGCTCTCCTCCTCTCCCCCCTCCTCGCCCTCATAGTCCTTGTCCGCCTCCCTCACAACCGCATCCGTATCAGGATCATCCTCCTCGATGGTGATTGGGCCTCCTCCCTTCCTCAACACAACAACCCTCGCACTAGCCTCTGCAACGGTCTGCTCACGGCGGTATCCACGAGGCATCCCCAACCCCTCCGCCCCCGAACTCTCTCCAAGTGCAGCGCCTCCCTTTGCAGGCACGGGGCGTGGACGAGGAGGCACTCCACGGTTGCGTGGAGTCTGCTCTTGCACGACACGCGTCGCTGCTCTTAGAGCGTACTCCAAGGTCTCGGTGGACACTCCTCTTCCGCAACCTCGCTGAGGCTCACAACCTGATGCCGGTACCTCCCTCGCCGCTGTCGTCCTGGCGCCTCCTCCTCCCAAGCCCGACTGAAGGCGTGCAGTGTGCTCCGTGACACAGCGGGTGGAATCCAAATTTATGCCCATCCTCCCGAATATCGTCGTGTCACACACGTCCTGCTGAACTGCTGTCGTGTCACGAATCCTACATCTCCCAGGCGTGTGTGGGGATCGAGAGCCTCTGCCTGTGGGCGACAATGATGGATCACCTACAGGTGCTCTGGGAGGAGGGGGTGGCATGTCTCCTGTGCATGGCGCTGTCTCCGTCACGCCACCCGAAACCCCTGGAACATGTCCCACGGTATGTCCTCCAGTGGAGGTAGACCCAAACCACACGGGCGACGCAGGACCTCATGGAACCGAAGGGATTGCCTGCCATGCTGGATGCTCGAGCCTCCGGTCGAAGATCCGTCGGTCCAATCGAGTAACATCGCGCACAACCTCTCTCGCCAACTCCTCTGCATCCAAAGGACGACGGACCTCCTGTAGAGCAAAGTGGCTAGGAAGACGTGGGGGCACAACCACCGGCTTGGACCCAAAATCTGTGATAACGGGAGGTGGCACACCATGCACTGCCATCTGAACCGCCTGCGACTGTCGACCCTGAGCCAAGTGCAGGCCCAAGAACGGAACGACTGGACCCGTCGTTGTCTCCTGGACCTCGCGTCGTGAGTCTATACCCCCCTCGACTCACCGCTGTCCTGCTTGCACAGCCTCATCCACCGCCTGACGCCGTCCCTCCACAGCAACGTCCGCTGCCTCTGGTACACTCGACATAGCCTCGGGTACCGGCTCTGCTGCCACTCCCTCCGCAACGTCCTCCCCCGCCACCACCCCACCCTGCACACAATCCCCCCCTATCTCTCGACGTGTGGCCTCCTCTATGGTCCGCGCGAACGACTGAGCACGCGGGTCACTCGATGCCAAAAGTCGAGCCTTCTCTCGCTCCATGATGTCGCGTGCTGCATCTGGAGACTCAGTCGTCGTCCTCTCTCTTGCGGCCTGCGTCGAAGTCTGTCGTGGCGCATCGTCCCTCGATGGAGCCCGATCCGTCGATGTCTCCCCGCTGCAACTAGGTGGAAGGCCCATCGACAAATCTAAGTCTAAGTGGGTCCCTATCTCCGAATCCGAAATCCCAAACCCCCTCGCCACACCCGGGGTCATACCCTCTATGACCGGATCGAGCTCCTCCGTATGGAACTGCTGCATGAGGCGCTCGTCATCGCCCCCACGCTGCACCTCAGCCTGTGCGGCTATCTCCTCCTCCACTGGTCCTGGCACCTCCCCCTCCACTGCAGCTGCTGACGGTGCCCCCTCCTCCTCCACTGCTGCTGTTCCTCCACCTGCTCCTCCTGCTGCTGCCACCTGCCCCTCCACTGTTGCACCTCCTCCTGCCGCTGGTGGATCCTCCTCCAGCACTGATGCTGCCATCTTCTCCAGCACTGCTGCTTCTGCTGCTGCTGCTGCTGCTATCTCCTCCACCGCGGCTAAGATCGTCGCGTTCGGCACCGCCGCTGGTGCCACCGAACTCTCCACTGCTGCTGCCGACGGTGGCCCCTCCTCCTGCAATATCCCCGGGGAAGGTGATCGTAACCTCAGCTGGCGGACTGCCCCGCCTCTGTGGAGAAGTCCGCGCTGAGGCAAAGAGGACCCCAACTCCTCCCTGTCCGCCGTTGCCATGGCTGACTGAAGTGGCGAGACGGGCGATGGTGGTGCAGGACTCGTAGCAGGAGGTGGCGGCATGGACGACTCCCGCCTCGTCGGAGTGGGGGTCGTCGCCTGCGCCTCTGGGCCGCCCGTGGAAGCGACCTCACTGAATGGGCCCCAAAACTCCTCTCCCCCCAGCATCTCCCGGTCCGCCCCCCGTCGTGTAGTGTGTGCCCTCGTCTCCGCGGAGTCGGGATCCTCGTGCGTCTCGTTGATCTCGCGGTGAATGCGGAGCACAGGGTCATCTGCCGCCTCGGGTACCGGATCCTCGTCTGAGTCGTCCTCCCTGGGGTAGGGACGAAAAATACAAGCACGTCTATCGAAAACGGCATCAACAAAGGGTGGTGCGGATGCCCCAATGGGATCCCGGGTAATAAGTGCAACCTGACGGCAATCTCCTCCTCCGTTATGCCCCTGCGAGTCCCCGAGCGCACAGGCTCAAACTCGAGTCCTGCCTGGCAATCCAGCATGCTCTCGTCCTGCTGCCATGGCAGCACATAMCCGCAYCCAGCCCGCCGATACTCACTCAACCGCACATTTGCGGTGATCTCAACGAGTTGAACGACCTTCTCGAAGGCCAACTGGTTGCGCTTCTTCGTGTGAATGCCCTCGTGGACCGCCCAGTTCCTCTCCGCTGGAGAGGCGTAAGACCACATGTGCATCACCCGAAGAGCGCAACGCTGCAACTGTGGCGCGCCCGACCCGAACTGAGGCCACCAGGACGCGCACTTAATCGTCTCGCTGTCGCCGCTGTACGCGCGCCCACGAGCACGCCCCTCCGGCCCGCCCCAATCCCCGAGCCTGCCCTGCTGAATGTGGAAGTCCTCAAACTGCCGACATGCAAGGATGTACTCCCCACCCTCCAACTCGAATCCCGTCTGCGTCAGAATGTACCTCTTGGCTTGCCCCACAAGCCAAGCATCGTACCGATCTACCTAGCCCGAAAAGCAGCGAACGTGTTGCCTGCGGGGGTTCAGTAAGAACCCTGCGCAGTGAGTCGGCTCAAGCATGTGCTGTGTGCGAGCCTGCACACGCCTGATGATCCGGTCGACGAACGACTTCCCCAAAGGGGCGCATGCGTCCGTGACACGGCGGATAAGATCCTGCGTCCACTCGATCATGAGGGACATACACTGTCCTCCACGATCCATCCGCCTAAGGAACTCCATGATGGGCTGCATGATATGGACGATGGTGGCCACCCTCTGCCACCATGGATCCCATTTAATCTATCGGCGCACCCAACGCGCCATGACGCACACATCGGCGGACCATGGGATGGAAGCAAAAGCCCGCGCGTCATCCCCTCGCATCATGTCCTGCAGAGTGTCCTGCAGGGCCAACAACCTCTCTAGCATGGAGTAAACAGACGCGAACCGCGTCTCGCATGAAAGAATAAGCCCCTTGTCGGGGGTGCACATCCTAAAAAAATGAAGAGCGGCCTGGTGGGTTTTGAAAAACACCACCAACACACGAGCGCGTGTGATCGCGTCCACAAACGCATCGCAACTCGTCCCCATGTCTGACATTGTTGTCAGACATGGACAGAGCACGGGAGCCAAGTGATCCTCCATAGTGCAGGAGGCATGGACGACGAGGTCAATGCCCTTGCAGCCCCCACATAGGCAGAAGCGGAGTCAGTGCATATCGCATTGATTCGCTGCGGCCCGCCGAAGCTAAACTCGTGGAAGATGGTAACCCATCTCCGAAGGACGTCCACTGCATCGTCCGCCTCACCCTCTCGATTGATCGTCGTGTACACGACGACCCCTCGCGAGCCAGCGGCAAGGAAATTCACGATCGGTCTCCCTTCTCGTGATTTCCTCCCATCGGAGAGGAGGGTGGCACCAGTCACCCAGAATGGCTGCCTCACCTCCTCCAACTCGTCCGCCAACTCCGCACAGTGGGTCTCCACCGCCCGCATACTCGCAATCTCACTGTGGTTGGGCAACACAGCGCGCGGGGAACTACCAGGCTGCTCAAGAAGCACCTGTTGATATGCCTTTCAAGCTTGGTTGTGGAAGGCATTGAAGGAGACCCCGCTGGAATACAGCAAGCGAAGGAATGCCTTCTTGTGGCGAGCAACCCACTCGCCACCTTAGACATCAGTCACCTTCTGCTGGCGAAGCCTCTTGCTGGGGTGGCAGCCGGATCACTTCCTCCTTCCTTCCTCTTGGAAGACCCCTCCGTTGCAGTTCCCTTGCCTGCTCGCCTCCGCCAGTCCTCCAACCTCTCCCCAGTGCCTGGATAAAACTCTGGCACGTCCTCCCGTTCTGGGACTCCTTCCTCGCCCGGACCACGCGCCTCGCGATCGTCGTGGATCACGCCCTCCTCCGTCTCACCGCCTCCACCACCCAAAGTGGGGTCTGGCGCACCATGCCCACCATCTCCCCCGACCCCTCCCTCCACCGGATGCCGCCCCGCCTCTCCTCCGCTTGCACCACCCCTGCCAGGCACATCGAGTCCGCGCTCCGCTGCATACCTGGCAACCCTCTCCATCTGATCGGCCTCGAACTTCTGTTGACTCTGTCGAGCGATCTCGTACAACGCCTCGTCGCTGACATCCTTGCAGTAGTTTGTTTGCGTGAAGTGCCTTGTGGCCTGAAATTGGGTCCCTTGGAACGGAGCATCATGACCCCCTTGTTGTTGATCTTCTGGCCGACAACCAGGTACCGATACACAGGGGAGCGGGCCCTGAATGTGTCCTGCACATGGTCCGCGGCAGGCTCATGCTGACGGCGCTGTGCCCTCCCCATGTCGACCACCCTGGCGAGACAACCCTCGCTGACTCCCCCCGACCGCACCGCTGCAGCCCAACCCCCGTTAACCGCTGCCCGCCGCAGGGTCCCCCTTCCCCCAACTCCCCCCTGCAATCCAACCCTCATTGACCTCCGCCCGCCTTAGGGTCCCCCGTCCAGCAGCCCCCACCGTCTCCCTTGCTCGCGTGAACCCGTGCGCAGACAGCCGAACCACCACAAACGCACCGCCGGCCCGCGCGTTAAACAGCGTTTAACGCCGTTCAAATGCGTTAAATCGCGTTTAACGCCGTTGAATTAAAAATTCAACGGTGTCATTCGGGACCGCGCATGCCGGTTCGCAGCCATCGCCGCGCGAGCTCCTCCACTGCTCTGCCTTCGTCGAGTCGACGCCGCCGCTCCGATGCCCTCCACGCTCCCTGCAACAACT